GAAAGAATGAATTTTTTGGAGCTTCACTTTTTTTGTATGCTAGATGGCAATGGTGATGTTTACTAAAGAGCTTATTGTAAACTAAACTGAAATGAACTGAAACGTGACAATGCTTGTGAGGTGCTTGGTATTAACCTGGCACACACTGGGCATTTGGTAAATGGCAGCCTCTGATCACTGCTGCTAGTTCACCCCACAGCCCCCTGACTAGTACTGCGGCTGCTGTTGAGAATACAAACCTAGCCATCCAGCAAGCCTGCCATCCCACTTTCCATGACCTCACTGTACCTAGAGATGCCCAAACCCTCCTGCCAGGCTGAGAAGAGCAGCAGACTAGACGCAGCCTCCCTCCCAACCCAGCCAGGAGCCCACGTGTAGGCAATCCCAGGGCCATACACTCCCCAGTTTATGGCATTACTTTCAATCATTTATTTCACTTATTTCAGAAATACTGATTGGAACCTTTCTACAGCCCAACTTACTCTGGTGGCTCCAGGAGCCTCCGGGAGCCCGCGGGCGTCTCTGTTGTAGCAAGCTCGCGGATCTGAAGCTGTGGTCCCAGTGTTCTAAACCTATGCCTTTGCCAAGCAAGGTCCTTGGAGTCTGTCAGTCCTAGTAGAACTCTTCCTAGCCCACAGATCATGGAAGCCACATCCATTTGGAGTCACACAGCCCTGGGTGACAAAGAGGAGGCCCCAGTTGCCATGGGACTGCCTTTCCTGGGACAAAGGCCTGACAAATCCTGCTCCCTAGAGAAGGAGCCTGGGGTCCCACCACCACAGTGCCCTGCTGACCCGGCTGGCCTTTTCTTTCTCCTCTGCTGGACATTAGCTTAAGAATGGAACGGGGCTGAGCAGAATGAATGAGGGAGTGGACTGGACTTAGCGTTCTGCCTTTAGCAGCATGAAAATGTCCTTCTATTATGAAAAATGGAAAAAGGGAAGAGTCCATTGTAAAAGGGGACCTCGAGGTGGTGATGAGATAGAATTCCAGCGGGGGAGGATCTTCCTCTCACGCAGACTGAGCGTTTTCTCAGATATGTGACAAGAGCTAATTTTAGAAAAATGATTCTCGAAAGAAAATGACTCCCGAAGGCTATTAAGCTACAAGAATGTCTCACTATAGCTCACACACTAAATCTTTATTATTTCAACATTAAAATAAAAACTTAGCTTTGAGATTAGTGCAGACATCTCTCTCTCTCTCTCTCTCTCTCTCTCTCACACACACACACACACACACACACACATACACACACATTGATGTTTCTCAGACCCACAGAAAAACCTGGCAAGCTGGCGTTTATAGCAGACACATCAAAGTGTGCTTAAAAAAAAAAAAAAGAATCCATTCAAGAAAACTGGCGATAAAACTTGTCAACCGCAGGGCTTGAGAGGGACATCATTAAAGCAGAAAGGCCTAGAATTAACCTCTCTCTGCCCTTGAACAAAATAAGAAGTTAGCAGCATTAACCTAAGCTGCATTGTAATGTTTGTCTGCGGCAGTGTTTACATTTCATAATTTCATCTGACAACTTGTGATAAATTGTGCCTTTTGGAAAATGTGATTTCTTTCAGAACAACTGGAAGGAGCATTTAAACACTCTTTTGTACTAGTCCTGAGTATCCATGAGGGACTGCGACTCACTCCTTTGTTTGGGAATTAGTATGGAAGATACGGGCACCCACCAACCTTCCTGGGCAAGCAGAACAGTTAAAATAATTTTCAGCAGTGGGGGCACTTTTGATTTGGCCTGCAAAAATAGAAGTTTCCTAGAGGGTTGGCGAGAAAGAGAACAGAAGTAGGAGAAAGAGTGGGAATGGGAAAAAGTGGTGCCAACCGGCTGAGAACATCCACTGGGAATCCAAACCTTCCCACTGCCAGGTAATCACGTCGGAATTGCTGTGGGAAGGAAGAGAAAGCCACACCGCATCTGGTTTGTGTATAATCTTGCCAAAGCTCTTCCCAGGGGAAAACTGGCAACAAGTCCGCAGCCTTAGTCACTTAAACCACAAAGCACACGTGAAGGTCTGATTAGGGAGCACTTTTCCATCGGCGTCTGGGGACAGATGATTTGCCTGATGGTCCTCTAACACGTCCCCGATGCCATTTATTTCACACCAGCTAATGATGGCACATAGCAGTGAGTCTAACAGACGACTTTGTTTGAGCTATGTCATTATGATATTTCAGATGCACTGTATTGGGGGAAAATATGCTTTCTATTGCTTAGCCAGACTTCCCTTTCTTTCTATTAGGCTGTGTTTTTCTTTCAAGGAAAAGCACGATGCAGGGTTTTCACAGTGATGACGTCTCCTACCTCTCTACCCTGGATTTGTTACCAATAATGCTGATGGCGGAGACCCACGACACTTAGAGTGATTTCTGTAGCATTTTGCTAGCAGAGTACTTGAGATTTAATCATTTTGGAAAATGTTCTCTTAATTAGCAACAGAAGGTTTGAAGCTACAGAAGTTGCAGCAAAGGCTTTTAGATTATTAAAAGTTGAAGTCTAATCACGAATGAGAGCAGCAACCCCACTCCTTTCTGTAATTACTGTGGGAGCCACGTGTGTCTCACCTGGGGGAGCAGCAGCCTTTTGCAGTGGGATCCTCATGCCGTTGTGGGGCTCCGAGGGCTGCTTGGATCCCACCTCTTCCCACTTCCAGGCAGAGAGAACGAACTGTCATGGAGTCCTGTCCTTCCCTTTTTGTATGTCCCAGATCCTCCCGTTCTCCCTCACCATCATGTCTGCCATCATCCCCCTTGACACGCAAGGCTTCCCATGTCTGCAGCTCGGAGCTAGGTGTTTTTGCATAATGAACTCAGTATCTGATCATCTGAAACTTTTTGTGAAATTTAGCGGGTTCAGCACAGCTTCCTGACACCCCTAAAGGCGACATTAATTCATCTTTGCGGGAGGGAGGCCCTGGCCCTGCAGCCAGAAGTTTCTCTTTCCCAATAGCTGAAGGCTTCCTTTTCCTTCCTGCACACCCCTCCACTCAGCACACACCTCGCCTTTGTGTATTTTAAAAATATTCTCTCAAGCTGATGCTGAAATAAGGAACTTCTGTTTCCCACTCTGAAATTGCCCACTGAGCACTGTTCCTCGGTGCAGGGAAATTAGGAAATGATAATTCCCAACCAGAAGCAGAAAGACAGCCATTTAAAGGAAGGACTGCAGAATTGGTGGCAAAGAATTTGGCTCTTTCCCTGGGTTCCTGTCCTGGAGCTTCTGAAACTTGAATTTTCCTAAGCAATAGGAGGTGATTCACACAGCATCCCCATGGGGACGGATCACCTGAAACATCATTACAAAGTTGGGAATTTGGGAATCTCAAGAAGAAGAGGGTTGATGGAGATTGAGTTCAGTCACATGGCCAACAGTTCAATCCGTTATGCTCATGTAATAAAACCTCAATTAAAAGCTCTGGAACCAAGGCTTAGTGGAGCTTTCCGGTTGGTGAACATTTCAATGTGCCAGGAAGGAAACACGCGGATTCCACAGGAGAGGGTTTGGAAACTTTGAATTCCCTCCAGATATCACCCTATATGCATCTGTATGATAAACTATAACCATGAGTACAGCACTTGTCTGACTTCAGTTAGTCTTTCAAATAGAGTACCAGATTTGATGGGTAACTCCAGATTGGTAGCTGAAACACAAGAAGTGTGGGTAACACAGGTGGCATCCAAAGTGAGGACAGTCTTGTGTATGACTGAACTTTGGGGACTTCAGAATGCTAGTGTCAGTTTATTGCAATGCACACAACTGCAATGTGAGCAGAGCAATTGTTATTAAAGGTAATTTTTCCAATTCTATTAGATATCTTGAAATACTGGAAACAAGTTCTAGATCTTCCCACTGTGCATTACAGCTTGAATCACTGTCTCCTGAGTTAGGCAGGTAATGTAGAAGTTGCCCCAGACTGCACATTAGCAAACTGCTCATTACCAGTTGCCAAAGTGATGCATACAGAACTGGTGAGTAAGCACTTAGAAACTTGGACAGATATTAGACTTTGCCATGACATTCAGGCATGGAAAGAAATATAAATATACCAGACAGTGACAATTTGGGGGAAAAATGATCCTTTACCACAGATAGTTTGAGGAGCCTAATTTAGAAAATATAACTTCAGTTGGTATGAGCAGATGGAGTCAGAATTTAGTGTTAAAAGTGTGAACCTTACATCAACCAGATGGGTATGTAATATCTGCTGCGGGCTATCTCTGTGGTTTTGAGAGTTGCTTAGCCTTGCTGGGCCTTAGCTTCGTCATTTAGTACATGGATATAGCAATATTTCCTAACTTACTAGGTACTAAAAAGACCAAATGAGATCATCCAGGACAGATGCTAAGTAGAGAGGCCAGCACAAATCAAGCTAACTGCTGGTATTTCTTCACTGCTCACTGCTTGGCATTGGTGATTCTGACTTGCTGTAGAAGTAGGAGGATGTTATCTGTTGAAATCAACATACTCTGGCGTGACATTCATCCAGAGACCCCAGGGTCACTGAGGCATTTCCCTATTTAGTGCCATACATGGTACGTTCCAGGCAGCCTTCCAGGACCAGGAGACTGTGAGGAATCAAATATAGTTGTCACCCCTTAGAAGTGCTCAGCATACCTGGTGTACAATATATGTGCGTGAGCCTTTAGCAGACTGATAGGCAGATAAGAACAGGCCAACGATACTTCACTCTTCTGCATGGCTCCACAAAATTGGGATCCTATCAACTCAGATGCAGGGGCGTTTTGCTGGAGTATCCGACTGTGTTGAGGCAAATGCATCCCTGAGACGCCTGGGATGGCGCACGGTTCTGGACTGAGGTGGTGAGGCAAGTCAGGGATAGACAGAACCCCTGGATTTAGTGAAGCTCCCAAAGGGTTCTGATTTCTGATGCCCCTGTCAGTCCCCCTCCCTGCCAACAACAATGCCCAGGTTAGTTTGTCACCAGCCCCACACTGACTAACTGTGGCTCCCGGCTGTGTTTCAGGCTCTTCCCACGTCCCAGTGCTTCTGAACACCGAGGTGCTGACCCCAGAGACCTGCCATGAAACCACACTTGAAGCAATGGCGACAACGAATGCTCTTTGGAATATTTGCGTGGGGGCTACTCTTTTTGGTGATTTTCATCTACTTCACTGACAGCAACCCTGCTGAGCCAGTGCCCAGCACCTTCCCCTTCCTCGAGACCCGAGGGCTGCTGCCCATCCAGGGCAAGCAGCGGGTCATCATGGGCGCCATGCACGAGCCCTCCTCGCCCAGGAGTTTGGATGCAGACAAGGTGCTGCCAGGTGGAGACCCTGCTGCCTCCTTTCACACAGGTCCAGTGGACCCGCAGAAATGGGCTCAGGCCCAAGACGGGTTTGAAAATGAAGAGTTCTTTCCATCGCAGGTGGGGAGGAAGTCCCAAAGTGCTTTCTACCCGGAGGACGACGACTACTTTTTTGCTGCGGGTCAGCCAGGGTGGCCCAGCCACACGCAGGGGACATGGGGATTCCCCTCCCCCGGGGAGTCGTCGCAGCAGGAGACCGTCCAGAGGAGACTTCCGAAGAAGAGGCACCGGCGGCAGGGGAAAGGCCCCGCGTGGGAGGAGCGCGAGGCTGGCGACAGGCTGTACGCCTCCATGTCCAGGGCTTTCCTGTACCGCCTTTGGAAGGGGACTGTCTCCTCCAAAATGCTGAACCCGCGCCTGCAGAAGGCCATGCGGGATTACCTGGCCGCCAACAAGCACGGCGTGCGCTTCCGCGGGCGGCGGGAGGCGCGGCGGAGCAGGGCCGAGCTGCTGTGCGCGCTGCGCCGCGTGCGCGTGCGGACCCTGGACGGCACCGAGGCGCCCTTCTCGGCCTTGGGCTGGCGGCAGCTGGTGCCCGCGGTGCCCCTGGGCCAGCTGCACCCCCGCGGCCTGCACAGCTGTGCCGTGGTCATGTCCGCGGGCGCCATCCTCAACTCCTCGTTGGGGGAGGAAATAGGTGGGTCTCACCCTGGGGAGGCCCGTCACCCCATCTCGAGCCGGTGGGGAATGGGGGCCTGGTTCTTTCTGTGCGCACCTCCGGGCTGTTACTGGTGGGAAAGGCTGGGGGTGTGCACTGATGTTTCCAACTTTAGCGGAAGAGCCTACAAAGGGTTTTCCCTGGTTGGGACCAAAAGAGACTGGTCCAGCAGAGCTCTTCTGGAGCAGGACCCTAGGGATTCTAGGGGGGCTGGAAGGATGTTCCTCCTATAGCTAGTGCCGGTGGGGATGGAAGGCAACCCTCCGGGTGCCCTGTGTCGCTTCTCACTGCCGGTATCTCAAAAATTGTTCCCACAGAAACCACAGTTCCTGCAAAGGCCAGGGCAGGCCATTGGGTGGCTGGAGTAGGGGGAGGAACAAAAGGTCTCCACTCTGGTTCTTAAAAGCAGGAGATCACCCAGTCAGGTGTGTCCCCTGCTGAGAGGAGACTTGATGACAATTTTGATTACTTCAGGAACCAAATCCAAGTCCATGGGCTCTGCAGAACACCTACAGCTGTTGAGTACATGTTCCCACAGGAAACTGACCTCTTCTGTTTGCACAGTAAACATGAGCACGGTAGGCACAAGCCCAGCCTTCCTGTTATGACCGGTGCACACAGTAGGGGCCTTGTCCAGAATGGTCAATAGCCTGCCTATACCTGGACTTCTATCTTCCCTGCCAGTCTGTGTTTGAACCCATGTCAGGAGCCCTGGAGCACAGGTACTTGGTAGCTCCTGTATTGGGGTGCTTAAGAACAACAGAAGGATATAGCGAGACACTGATAGATTTATTTTAAGGGCTTGGCTCAGTGATTGTAGGGGCTGGACAATTTGAGGTCTACAGGGCATGCCAACTGGTGGGACGCTGAGACAGGGTTTCGGTGTTGTATTCTCGAGGCAGAAGTCATTCCTCAGGACTTCTTTGGTCTCCACTTTTGTTCTTAAAGCCTTCAACGGATTGTATAAGGCCCATCTACTATGTGGAGAGTGATCTGCTTTCCTCAAACTATACTGATTGAAAAGTTAATCACATCTGGAAAGTACCTTCACAGTGATATGTACACTGCTGTTCCAAACCAGCAGCATGGTGGCCTAGCCAAGTTGACGCACATCATTAAGCATCCTCCCTCCCTATCAGTCTTCAAGTAAAATATCGGTGCTTGTATATCTCTTGGTTGCAGAAAGTAGGGTAGGGCTGAAGTACCTCTCCTCCCACAGAGTCTAGGCTCTACGCTGCGTAGGCTGGGACTGGATCGCCACAGAATCCTCCATTTGCTCTGGGCTGCATTCATTTCCCCATCTTTCTCAGTCTCTCTCGTCCCTTCTTGCCAGAGATCTGTTCTTTTCTGTTACTGGTGTCCTCCTCTCCCTCAGCAATTCTGGATCCCTTTGCTCCCCAGACTTCTCTCTCTGGTCAGGCTAATTCTATTGCCGCACCAGTAAGCAAGCAGCTTGGCCCTTTAGGTGATTTTATTCATTTAACAGACGTGTGTTTTGCCCCTCCTGAATGTGTGGCTCTGCACTAGGTACAGGAGGCCAGTGTGGCTCACCCCCCAAGTCCAGAAGTGAAACAAGCACATCTATGCATTCTCACTGCAGTTGGTCTTGGATCATAACTTGTCTGGAAGTGACATTCAGAGGGCGTGGCTCCCTCGTTACAAAGAAATAATAGTGGTTTCCTGGCTTCATTTGAAGCAGGTCCCTCAGTCGTCCTGTGTCCTTGAAGAGTGACTGGTATTGCAGAGCTGTCTTAGATAAGCGATGCCACTGTAGGAAGGCTTAAAAACCCAGACCTCAGCTCAGAAGTCCTTGGGAGTGAGGCTCAGTGGGATTTTTTTTTTAAGTTAAAAAAAAAAAATCCAAGACAACAAATATGGGCTTGTGGTCTTGGGTCCCTGGTCTATTCCAGCAGGCTCATAACAACACTGTCCATGTGTCACATAAGCTTGTAGCCAAAGCCAGAGCAGAGCAGCCTGCAATTTATTAAGAAAGAGCACTGGTTTAGAGGCCCCTGGGGTGGAATAACACCACAGTTCTTCCTCATTTCCGAGGACCAATATTAATAATGCAGAGGAGGAATTTAAGTATTACGCTTTGAAGCAGGCAGTAACTTGCTTCTGGTTTTGCTTTGTTTTAAACACCTCTGCATCGTAAATACTTAGTATTTGGATTGCTCTCGCGTGCCAGAGAGAATTCCCTTGCTCTTTATTTCTGCATAAATATTCCTGACCAGGGCCTCTTAAACTCTACCCAGAATTTGAAAGAGAAGATGAAAGACATTGGGAAGTCCGTGTTTCTGAAAAACATGAGACGCCGGAGTTACATATTTGTTAGTTTCCAGCATTCAAATCTTATTTTATGTTGTGCGCTCTTAGAGGCAGCTTTATGGTTAGAATTGTAAAATCACAAATGAAGAACATGCCCGGAAATTTTTTTTTAATTGTCTTTCTTGTTTTATCTAGGTTCCTTTGACTCAGATTTTGTACCTACACATTTTAGGACAAGAAATCAGAGTGCCACTCTATTTTGGAAAAACAAAGTCTTTCATCCTTATGAGCTGGCGTCTCAGCCAGCATATGAGCTGTATCTGCCAGGTGCTGACCTCTCTCCTACCTGCTCACCTGAAGGTCTCACTGAAAAATGCATATGCTCACAAATGGTCTCATGATGAGCCAAATTCACACAGCACATTCCTTCTGCCACCTGGGAATAATTGGGGCATGCTGTCGCTAAACTCAGGTTGGCCCCTCAGTAATTGCTTGTGAGTTGGCTAAGTGGAAATCAAAAGACTCACGAAAGTCTTCTGCGTGATCTGATGAAAAAAATTGAAAGCAGAGCTGGAGAGTAGCCAGAGAAGTCTGTGTTAAGTAGCCCCAGGGCCCCTCCAGGCTGAGGACCCCAGTACTCAACAGCTCCTTCCATCCTTCCAGTTACACCTGGGGTCTGCTGATTGGCTGCCCTTGGGCTCCCCCTGGTGTTTGTTCCATGGCCAGTACAGTCCTGTCCTCCACACGCTCAGACCCTAGTGACTGTTTTTGCTCAGAGGGAGATGTAGCCGTTGTAAACAGGTCCACTTTGAACATCCTAGGGAAAAGAAACATCCGCTGTTTTGGAAACATGGAACAGTCTTTCCTGGAGTCCTGAGATGGTCTTTGGTCACTCCTACATATCAGCAGTGATAATAGGCTAGTGATGTCACCACTAGGACTGTTGTGGGACACACCACAGAGGACAGGTGTATTCTGGATGAACAGAGATGGCGTTGGTGTGGCAGACCAAGGTCTGCATATTTGAATGTTGAATGCTAATGGCAGGTGGGTGGGAAGTGGGAGGGAAGAGATGGGGGTGTGTGGAGGGTAGAGTTTGGAATGTGGTATGTCCTGTTAACTTCAAGAAGACATTTCACGTAGTCATTCAGCAAGCATTAGTTATCGATTGACCACCAAATCTCTGCCAGGTCCTCTGCTAGACACAGATGAAAGGCACAGACTCAGCCCTCGAATTCTCTGTCAGAGAAGTCTAGACTGTACATAGACAATTCCAACATCCTGGGAATAGGACAGGGAGATAAGTAGATCAGGAGGCTAGAAATGTTAGTGGAGTCCTAACCCACCCTGAGGCCTGAGGGCTGGGTGGGCAGAGAGACCATGGTAAGAAGAAATGCCCCAGAGAGGCAAATCTGGGCTGAAGGTTCAGTAATAGGTGCCACTCGAGATTGTTCACTAGGAACAAGGACCCATTCTGATGCTCTTTCTCTGTTGACCATTAGAACCCTTACAACTCTAAGTAATAGGTATATGCAGTTATTCCCGCCTGACTGATAAGGAAATGGGGTGCCTAGATCACGTGGGCAGAGCCTGGAGTCAGCCCTCCACGTGGATTACAGGAGCTTCAGCTCTCACCCTGCACACCAGGGGCAGAGGTCATCCCACCAGGGAAGCAGAGGTAGATTCTCACTTTATTAGAGCATGTCAGATTTCTGTCCCTGTGACAAATACCTGAGGTGAACACTTAGAAGCAGTAAAGTTTTATTTGGGCTGATGGTTTCAAGGGTTTCAATCCATGGTCAGTTGGTCCGTTGCTTTGGGGTCTTTTATGAAGCAGCATGTCATGGGGCGGGGGGTGCCGGAGGGTGCTCACCTCAGGCAGCCAGAGAGCAGAGGGAGATGGGAGAGGCCAGCCGCTCCGGCTCCTCTTCAAGGGCACACCCCCAGTGGCCTAACTCCCTTTTACTAAGCCCAAACTTCCCTGCACTTCCCCAGAGCCTGGTGTTTTGGTCAGCGTTTGCGTTGCTGAGACCAAAACACCTGACAAGAGCAGTTATTAGAGGAAAAGTTTATCTGGGCCCATGGTCTCAGAGGTTCAGTCCTTGGTTGGCCAACCTCGTATCTCTGCGCCCAAGGTGCGGCAGGACAGCATGGCAGGAGGAGGTGGCAGAGGAAAGCAGCCCAGGACATGACAGCCGGAAAGTAGAGAGAGCTCTGCTCACCAGGGACAATATATAGACCCCAAAGGCACACCCCAGTGACTACCTCCTCCAGCCATCTCTCCTGCCTGGGCAATCCACATCGGTGGATTAATCCACTATTAAGTCACAACTCTCATAATCCAGTCGCTTCACCTCTGAATGTTCTTGGGTTGTCTCACGTACGATCTTTTGGAAGATACCCCATATCCAAGCCATCTCAGCTGGGGACAAAGCCTTTAGCACGGTGGTGGGCCTTTAGGAGACGGTTATCCCAACCCTAACAAGAAAAATCAACCTACACCCTGGATTTGGTGGCACCAGGAAAGTAAGAGATGAGGGGATCCTGCCAGCGGAGAGACCAGGGCAGTGCGAATCAGGAGATGAATCAGGCCTTCGCCCCAGTCCCTGGCAGGCATTTCCCAGGGACTGAAGACTTGTTCTCTCTCAGTATTTCCAGTTTTTGCTTTCTGGTCGGTGGGTCAGGGGGAAGAGGGGAGGATGCAGAGCCCGGGCCAGGGAAAGGCAGTGACTTGGTGCTGGTGGCCTCCTGGCCTGGCAAGCAGGAGTGATCCTTTCAGTGTGTGCACGTGGCCAGGCCCTGTTCCTAACATCAGCACAGCCCTGCTGGGGCCCGGACGTGCCTTCTCTAGAAATGAGGCTTTCCTCGATTGCCCTCGTGCCTGCCGTCTGCTCCGTTTCTCCTTTTTAAAATCGGAATGGACAGCTCGGGTTCTTAGGTGCTTCACCGACATCACCGAGGCAGCGTGCAGCCAGGCCTATGTGAGGAGGCCCTCCTGGCTCTGCCTCCATCGTGCCCGTCTAGTCCTGCTCACTGGCAGCTTCCACCAGCTGCAGCAGCAGCTCCGTCAGCCCCGCCTCTGCCTGGTGAAGCTGTTGGAAGGCTCGGAAGACATCTCCACACAGGGCCATCGACGGACAGTGACATGCCGGGAGCTTTTCAAGGGTGTCGTGATCCATGTGGAATTAGTACTCGATTCATGAAAAGCTCCCACCACTTGGGACCCTGGGGCTGCTCATCTGACCCGGGGGCTGTGTCGAGGGCGGGCAGCCTGGAGTCCTGGGAGGGCTGTGGTCTCAGTGAGTCACAGTCCCTCCCTGGCCTGTCCCCATGGGGCTGCTCACTGTCTGGCGTCCCCTCTTATGTCCTACCTTCTCAGGGAAGTGCCATAGGTCATCGCTTCTAACAATTCCACCTTGGAATCCGATTTTAATTGGAAATGTGCAGATACTTTGGCATCCTCTATACAGAGCATAGATTCCCTCGGTCATAGATTGATAGACATTTTTTAAGACCCACGTAGGGTCCCCGGGTCCTTTCAGTGGTCCAGAAGTTAAAAATATTATATAACAACTTTGATGTTTGCATGGACCAAGCAAAGGCAATGATGGATAAAACTACTGGCTTTTTAGTACAAATTGAGGTAGGAGCACCCAACAATAGTCATCATCAGACTTTTTTTTTTTTTACCACTAAGTATCATTTTCAAGGGCAGGTTTCACTTCTGGTTGGCCTCAATGAAGAAATCAAAATAGTTGATTTTGTGAAATCTCAGCTTTTGAGTGCCTTCATTTTTCAGATCCTGCGTAACCAAGTGGGAAGCGAAAGAAAACACTTCTGCATATCAGTGGCATGCAAAGGCACTGTGGCATCGTGTTGAGCTGAACTAGCCACATGAAATACAGTGTGTAGTTAAAAAAAATTACTGACAGACATACTTTAATTATTCATACTTGGATATTTGACAGATGTTTTCTCAAAAAGGAATTAAGGGAGACTGTCACCTTTAGGAAAAATAATGGACAATATTTGTTGCAGATGATAGGATTTAAGCTTTCAACTCACGTTTCGACAATACTTGAAAACGAATGAGATCCATAGTGGTTAATCAATGTGATTTTTTGATACTTTATAATAAAATGCATCAATATTTGGAAGATCTGCCTGACTTTTTTAGCAGAGAGTTTTCAGATGATCGTTACATGATATAACAAAGTCATGTGTGAATAAAGGACCCCCTCAAGAATAAATAGACTGATGGATTATAGTGTGTCAGAATTTATTGGACTCTTGGATTTGCACCTATTTGAATTTTTTAGAAGTAGATTTTTGGAAGCCTATCTTAAAACACACTTGTTCTGAGAGGATTCCTATGAAGACTGCCGGGGTTAAGGAGGCAGACATAACTAATTCTGGAGTCATGAATTTATTAGGAAAAAAACAACTCATTGATGTGTTTCAGTTTCCACACTGTAACCAACCATTAACCAATCAGCACTTGAGAAGTTCTGATGAAGTTTTAAAGAAGAATATCTGCAGTTCTCTGGAAGGATTCTTAAAATACCCTTCCCTTCTTCAATAATGTATCTAAGTCTTCATATACTGTGGCTAAAACAACGTATTGAAAGAGATTGTCTCTTCTAAAAGCCAGACAATGAAGGTTTTAAAACATTCAAAATATTGTCAGCCTTCTCACTACTTTTGTTCTAAAAATAGAGTTATTTTGTTTAAAAAATATTATTTTAATATAAACTAATAGACACTTAAAATTTTCTGCTCTACTTTCTTATGCAGAAAATAGGTTACAAATAATTTTCTTTAAGAGGTACTGGTACTAAAATGTGAATTCTACTGCTGTGAGTCCATTCATTTTTTTCTAGCTAAAGTATCATTTGGTTTTCTATGCCAATACATCATTTAGTAAAAATAAGAAAGCAATTCAGAACAGAAAAATATCAACAAGTGCTTAAAATTGTAAGGAAAAAATTAAATTTTAATTGGAAGTGTTCTGATTTTTTGACCTCATTTATACAAAACATAGATTCCCTCAGTTCCAGAGATGAATAAGCTTTATTTTTTTCCCTAAGGAGTCAGAGAGTAAACATTTCAGGCATTGTGGGCCATATGGCCACTTTACAGCTTACTAACAGAATTGTCCTGCAGGCCATACACGTTGACTCTTGCAAATTTTCCCCTAAAAGAATACTGGAGGGTTTCTAAAATGGCATAACCGGGTGTGCTTTATGCATTCCCTGTGATAACCTTGGTACTCAAAACTGGAATCCCAATTCTTTTGCATTCAGGACTTGCTAATAAAGGCACCTACGATAGCCTTGTCTTAATGGGAGCATCTCTGGTAGTTTCTGCTCTTCAAGGAAGAGGAACGTGTCCAAGAAGAGCAGAGCATAATCCAACCACAGGAGGCCCGCTGCCTCCGTTTCTGGGTGGGGTGTCGTCACAGTAAATGCCATGCCCTCACGTCCACAAGGCACTTGAACATACAGAAATACACGACCCCACCTCTCACCCTCACAAACAGGCAACGTCATTGCTGCAAGCTAAACTTGGAAATTGCATGGGAGGGTTGAAGCTAGAGCAGCCCTCAGAAATTCCATTATTGCTCACATGCTCTGGTTTTGGGGGGGGGTTTTAGAGATGCATGTGTCCATAGCCTGCCTTAAGTGAGGGGCATTCCCCATTTCCACCCTTAGTTAGATGAGCCCCTCTGTCCTCCCCTCTTCCTCTGTGCCTTCATTCTCAGCCTCCATGATTTGGGAGCCTTATTTTCATCCAGCAACTCTTTGCCCAAGATTCAGAGAACTGAACAGAGAGTCTGGCTGCCAGGTTGAATGAAGGGAGATGGAGACTGATGTTTAAGGGCAAGCATGGTGGTCCACAGTGTCCCGTTTCAGAGAATAAGGAGGCTGGCCGGTGGTGACATTGGTTTCCAGGGCTGCACCGTCAGTCGAGCCATGGCTTTGAGAACACGGAAGACGCAGGTTGCTCTCACATGGGTCTGTTGACTTCAGCAGCCTTCCAGTATGAAGGCTGCATGGAAATCAGGGTCGGTTTTCTTTTAAGCAGAAACCTTTACCAAAAGGTCGCAAGGTGGAATTGGATGCTGCGGCTTTCGCCCTGGGAGAGGTGCCCTTGATCTTTGTGAAGGCAGTAGCGTTAGATGCAGTTCTTTATCACCATAACCAACTTCAGGGGTCCACAGGTAGTAAGAAGCCCAGGACCAGCAGACCCTGAGCAGCCCGTACCTGCTCCTGTAGATCCACCTTCCAAATGGCTTGGAACCTTTGGGGGAATGGCTGCATAAAGTGCGTCACTTGTAAAGAATGTGAAAAGAAAACAAGCATTGAATATAACAGGATCACCTGTAATTGAGTACACACACACTCACACACACACACACCCAAACATGTCACTTAACGTGTCACATGTCGCTTAACGGGAATACACTCAGAAAAAAAAATGATTCATTAGGCAATTTCAACATTGTGTGAACATCATAGAATATACTTACATAAACTAAGATAGTCACAAATGTCACCAGGCAACCTAATCTGCATGGGACCTCTGTTTTATACATGATCCATTATTGACTCACATGCCATGATGCAGTGTGTGATGGCATGTATATCTCCATGTTGGTCTCCCTAGCCAAGATGACATCATAAATCAGCAGTAAATTATCTGAAAAATGTGTGTATGGATATGTTAATTTTACTAGTGGTGTCTGATTAGTTTCGGGTATTGAAAGATTTATTTAAATATTTTCCCTAGATGGTGTATTTTTTTAAGATAATGTATTCTATAGAAAGAAAAAGCAAGCTTGTTATTTATGTACCCTTAGATTCTCATGATGCAGTTTTGAGATTTAATTCTGCTCCTACACGTGGTTATGAGAGAGATGTTGGAAATAAAACCACTGTGCGCATCATTAACTCCCAGGTAAGATGGATGGAGTTTTTCACAGGGGTACCTTCTGTAGGTAAATCATTTAACTGGATGAGTGAACAGAAATGATCTGGTTGTCCATAACCATGATACTTGCTTATTTTTGTGGGTCTTGTAATTATAAAAATTAATGATGAAAAAAGCAGAGAAACAAGAATTTAGATGTGAATTATGACAAGGAAGAAATAAGTAAGATCAAAGGACAAATCAGAATAGATATAGAAATAGAATTTTTTGTAATCATAGACTTACCATATTCCACTTTGTGAGCTGAGAAAAGGCAACTCAGCTTAAAAGAAATCATGGCAATGAAGGTCATGGAGAAAAACAAAGGCACAAAATCTGAGGGTCTCTATTTTATCTTTGAAACTTGAGTTTGTTATTTGAAAATTTAAAAGCTGAAAATGAGTTGTTTAATGGAAAATGAAAATACCTCTTTTCTTCATGTTCTTAATAAGAATGTCTTCCAAATTTATGGCAAAATTACTCTCAGAACAAACTACAAGAATTTCTAGAGTTTCAAAAAATATGTAGAAAAAATATGAGGTGATAAGTGATTTATGGAAAATTGCTTGCAGAACAAACGATTAGCTCTGTGTACAGTTCACTGCACCAGGCAGCCTGCAGCGAGGTAAGAAACAATTACCATATTTCCTTAATTCAGAGATATCATTGGCTGTAAGATCCACAACTCGTTTAATAACAAGTCCTCAGAGAAGAAGAGATAAATCCGACCGAATTAAAATACATGCTGCCTGTAAGATAATCCTAACCTCAGACACATTAAAATATAAAAAAAAGTGCATTTTAATAATGGTAAAAAAAAAATTGCCTCTTAAAATTGAGGGGGGAAAAAAAACCAGAATTTTCCCCCAAAATGATAGTTTTCATAAAAAGATGATTGGCAGCTGAAATTGACGAATTCAACCGGAACCAGATAGGGCCACAGAGGGAGGACTGTGGCTGGCGCTCTGGAGGCTGCTTCGTAACTCAGCTCATTCACACCCACACTGTGTCTGAATTACATGTGGAGGCTATTAGAGAGAGGGTCGGGGACTTGAATTAGCCGGGAGTTCTGTGTTCCAGGGGCTAGAGCTCAGGCCACTAGCTATGGTGCTAGTGGTGCTAGTGCTGAAAAATGTAAACTGATATGTTTTTCTCATTTCCCTAAACATTCTTTAAGTGCCTGAGTGTGCGATAGAAGCCTCTGTCCCTCTCCCAAAGGCAAATAGAAAGCCGTTTTCTCCTTGCTCTGGAACCCTCTTTTAAATTTTGAGCTCTTTTTTAAAAATATGCTTTTGAAGTAGTAAACACTGGCTGCATTTGAACTTTTTTTTCCTATGTGCTTGCAGATTCTGACCAACCCCAGTCATAACTTCATTGAAAGTTCTTTGTATAAAGACGTCATTTTGGTGGCCTGGGACCCAGCTCCTTATTCTGCAAATCTTAACCTGGTAAGTGTTTCCCTGATGCCCTGACCCCCGTGTTCAGACAGGGCCTCGGACTGATAAATGATGGGAGCAGGTCAAGAATTGCAGTCAACAGAATGAAATTGATCATGGGTCCTAACTGAGCACATAGGTGTGCACACATGTTGATGCCCAGGTATGGCAGTACACTTGAACGTTATCCGTCAAATGCTAAACTGCTTTTGTTCTAGAGGAATGGAAGAAAGATGTACATATCTAAAGGCTCAGAAATTCCTAGCTGTACTGAAGGTTGGGCTGATTAAACTTACACTGGTTCTAATGTGACCGGAAGACATCCCCCTCAGAGTGGTTGCAAGACCTTTGGAAATAAATTAAAAGTGGTTGGCAAGAAAATCTAAATTTTGTGCATCCACAGCTCATTGTTATTCAAATGGAGCCTGTTCCAGGTTTTCCTTGAGTGTTCCTCTTTGCCTTCTGCTTCTGAACCTGTTAAATTTTATGCAATAGAGCTGAAACAAGTTTATTGCTAGTCATCAAAATATAAGCAGTCTGCATTTGGGACCTTCTGGCAAATCATCATCTACCTAAGCAAACAGCTAGCCACTTTTAATGGAGCTTTGAATGAAAAACTAGTGAGCTTCTTTTTTAGTGAGGGTTGGAAAAGGTGGAGAATGTTTAGCCTAGCAAGGTATGTTATCAACTATGCAAATGTCTTTAACTCGTTTTTGCCATGACCAGAGAGCCTGCAACTTCCTTAACCCATTGTGTTATCATTTAGATGTGCGACACCTGTAAAAAGTTAACTGTAGCATATAATATATAATTATATAATAAATCATGTGATTGAATAATAAAAACACTAATGGGAAGAATATGACTATATTATAGTATAATAATGTTAGTTAATATTAATTAATGTAAGTATCATCTTCTGATTTCCAACCTGTTTTAATGTACCCATTTAATTTCATTGAAATATTCACAAAATTGAAAACTTGGGACTTAATTCATAAAGATGAATGTGGAGGCCAGGTAGTGAGGGCTCTAACAGGTAACATTCTAAGAAAGCTATCCAAGACAGAATGGCTCTGTCCTGAAGGAGTGTGGGTCACCATCCATCTCAAGACTGAGGCTCAACATTGATTGCCACCACATCTTAATAATAGGTGCAAATCAGAATCACCTGCAGAAAAAAATTTTCAAAATCTGTCCATGAGACCCCCAATTTAAAACCACAGAAATGTTTCAGCTTTGGACAATGACTTGGGATCTTCCTATACCCCCCATGGTATACCCATGGCATCTACTTGAAAGTGAGCACAGTGCTCTCAGGGCCCTTCGAGCTAAGCCTTTTCCCACACATCTTCTCCAAGCTGCATTTTATGGTGGCACCTGACACACTTCTGAAGATCCTTTTTAATCCAACCTTACTGCTTGTTTTTCATACAGTATACCTACAATAAGTGCAAATGCACATTCTCATGAATATTAACAAATGTATGCACTCATGTACCCACCATCATAATCAAGAAAGGGAACAGTTCCATCACCCCAAGAGTTCCCATGTCACTCCATCCCAGTCAGTCTTCGCATCCCTGCTCCTGGGCCCTGGGGGCCATGGTCCACTTTTTCACTATAGATAAAATTGGGAACATTTATTTTTTGAAACACACTATTCATGAGAAAGATCAGCAAACTATGGCTGGCTAAATCTGGCAACCACCTGTCTTAATCAATGCTACCATTAGCACTTAGTAATAGCCACAGAGACCACTCACAGAGTTTCAGGTGTTTATCATCTGACCCTTTGCAAAAGCCTAACAACCTCTGATTTATCTTTTTTTTTCTCTCATTTTGTTAAAAAGCAAAGCATCATCTCTGCCAGAGCTAGAACCCTGGTCTTGCTTCATACTTGTCCCTTAGGAAGTATCTATAACCATGATAAGTCACGGTCCTCCATGCTCCCTCTATCTCCAACCTGGACCCTCAGCATCTACATCCACTTGCTTGCATGCTGTTCTGTCTCCTTTTTACACTGTAGTTCCCTGTGCTTGATTGCGTGTGTGTGTGTGTTTTTTTCCTTAGTGGTACAAGAAGCCAGATTACAACCTATTCACGCCATATATTCAACACCGTCAGAGAAATCCAACGCAACCATTTTACATACTTCATCCTAAATTTATATGGCAGCTTTGGGACATTATCCAGGAGAATACCAAGGAGAAGATTCAGCCAAACCCTCCATCTTCTGGTTTCATTGGTATGTGTATATTAAAAATTGTAATAATTGAGCAGGACCTCGTATTTAATAAACATAGTCAGGTTATATAGTAGAGCAATTAACAGGTGTATTTAGAGATTAGGCCAAGGAAATGAGAAATACTCTTTTCCAGTTATCTATTACCATATAAACAAACACCTCCAAAATTTCAAGGTATAATGCAATAAATACTTTATTTTCTCCCATGATTTTGTGGATCAGCATGGGCCAGCCTGGATGATTTTCTGTTCCACACATTGTTGATGGAGTCACCTGGTACTCAATGCTTTGTGGAATAGTTGCACTTACAGGTCTAGCCCCTTGGCAGGGAGAGCTAAAACCAGACCCCAGCTGGGACTGTTGAGCATGAGCCTGCATTCTCTTTCATGGTGGTCCCAAGGTAACTAGAATTCTTAAAACGGCAGCCCAAGATCCTAGGGAGAGTGTTCTAAAAGACAGGAAACAGAGGTTGTCACGTTCTTAAAGGCAATGCCCGGAGACTTGCACCATGTCATGGGTGCTATTCGGTTGATCAGAGCGATCTCAGAGTTTACCAAGTTCATGGGGAAGCAACATAGACCCTACCCCTTGGTGAGAGGCAATTGAAACATGTCCAGGAATTTATGGGTCTCTTTAATTCACTACTCACCCCCATTCAGTTGCTTATGGGGTGCCAGACCGAGGAGCTGAATTTGTGACCCTAAGACAGTACGGTGTATTTTAAGGTTACTGGTAGGTAAGAGCTTTGATGAGACTAGTTTTAGTATCACATAGAGTTCTCTTAACTGGAGAGTCCACTAGCTCTAATCCAAGAATGGATTTATATATATCAAGATAATCACACTTAGCCTATATATTTTCAGCCAGGTGTTAGACCTCAAAATTTGTGGTTTTGCTCCATTTCTTTATGTTTCAGCTTATCACCAATTACTTATTTGATTTTATCCAAGTTGTCAATATTGAGGCATATCTTAGATCCCCAAAGTGATAGGAAGACTACAGGAAAACCAAAGGATATTGGTTTTGTTGCTATCCCAATTTCAATGAATTTACCTCGCTGATCCACCCTTGGGCTACGCAAAGGTCCCTATGAATAGAAGAGAGATTTAGGGAGATAATGCTTGTTTGGTTATGAATGCAGGATACACATATATCTGGAAGCAAGGCTTTCAGGCCTGCACATTTTGGAGTGGGTTTATACTATTGTGATAATGTGAAATGTTTTACGTAGGACTCCAGAAGAAAAATTTACAATAGGATTGCATATTATTTTCCTTAAGTCTTATTTTTCCCCCTTCTTTAAAGCCATGTTTGAAACTCTTTGTTTCCAAATCACCCATGAAATTCCAAATTCTTTATCTTTTGTGTAGTTTCATAGGATCCTTTTGATTTAGGAGAGAAAGTATTATCTGGTTTGTCAGCAAAGGGTAAACAGGATAGAGTAATGCTTGGACAGCATAATAGAATGTGGCACAAGTTTTATAAAGACTTCTTTTCATGTTGTCACCTTGAATTTGTGTGAATAATGATTAGGACAAAGGGGGGGGACTGTCAGATATAATTATTATTGACATGTAGTTTTAAAAATTCAAAAGTTATGTTGTTGTTGGCAAGAAAAGTACTTGCCCACACATTTTGTTGAAGGACATCATGCCACATAGGACCAGCTTCCTTTGATTGCTATTTACCTAGAGTCTAGAGCTTGCAAAGACTCATGATCACCTTTAAGGCTTCCTTTGCATGAAAAGGAAATTGCAATTCAATGTCTTTGCAAGACTGTAGGTCAGGGATACCTAAGTGTGAGTTTCAATCCTTCTATGCCACTTGCTAGTTTTCTGACTTTGGTGAAGTTGCTTCATTCTTTGTTCTTTGATATCCTCAGGCAAGGAACAGGAATAATAATAATAATAATAAAATCTTTAGACGGATAAGGTATCTTGACAATTTACAATCATTATTATTTTCTAGCACTGCCTCATCCAATACAGCAGCTATTAGCCACATGTGACTATTTAAATCTCAATTAATTCAAATTAGACAAGAGGATAAATTGTTTCTGAGCCCCAGTAGCTCCATTTCAAATTCTCAACCACGTGTTCTTGGTGGCTTGCATATCAGACAGTGCGCATAGAGAACTCTGCCGTTGTCACAGAAAGTTGTGCAGGGCAGCAATGTTACGTTTTACCAATGAAAGAAAAACAGCAAGTTGATAAGTTCCCACTCATCAGGCTGTGCTGTAGGGGCGGGATTGAAGATACAATAGAAGCCATAGTCTGACTTTGTTAAATTCCCCTCCTCCTCTTGAGCCTCACCATGGTTGTGTGAGAGCTCTCACTAAGGATGGGCAGGAGAGGCAGCCTGGGTGAGCTTTAACAGCACCCTCTGAGTAAGTTCCCTGATGCTGTTGTAGTCTTTGTTCTCCTCTTTGGTCTTGATCAGAAACAGGCTGAGAGCCACAGTCTGTTTTATCATTTATGTGACATTTTCAATAGCAGTTGAATGATGTCACCCACATCTCAATCTGTCTGCCATAACAACTTTTTTTAAAAAAAAGATCAATGAGTTTTGTTTTTTTTTTAATCAAAAAGTATTTTCCACATGCCTCTTCACGTTTGAAGGTCACGTTGAAAAGTATTGACCTGTTGTCTCAGTAGTCATCATATCCAAGCACTCTCACCTCTAACATCCGCTTCTAAACAAAAGAACCCATGGTAGAGCTATTAGGAGGGATCAGAATGTTTGCACAGTCCAACACTGTGCCCTTGGTACACAGGTCGCCAGGCCAGGGTGGGCCCTTGTCCACAGAACAGCTTGGCAGCGTCCCTCACCTCCTGCTGGACCCACCCACATAGGTCTTTGCTCCAGATAAAGCTGTGAGAATTACTTTCTTCACTGACATGTTCATTCAGGTGTGAAAAATTATCTCTGATTTGGTGACTTATATTTCCAAACCTATCGCCTGCATTTTCTTATATGCTTTTAGGGATCTATGTATGTGAAATAAAGGAGCTCTAAAAGTTGGCTGTTTTGAACATGAAAGACATTTCTTTTTATGGAAATGGATTCAATAGGGAAGTTAGGTTCCCAGAGAGATGCCCCTTAAATGTAGTGTGATTGGTACTGTTCAAGAGGCTCAATTCATCGAGAAAGGAGTCATCCACCAAGTGGATACTAATTGAGCACCTCCTGTGTACCAAGCAAAGGTCCTGCCCACTTGGAACATGCAGTGAAGTGGAGGAGGTGGGGACTATGATGCACAGGTATGTGTGCATAAACGAAAGGTAATTACAAACTGTGACAAATGCATTGAAAGGAGCAGGATGCGAAAAGGGCTGGGCAGTATCTACTCTGGCCACCACTGTGTTTTTATTCTCAGTCTGGCAAATAGTTGAAAAACAAAATGAAGTAAGTACAGTTGGCCCTCCTCATCTGTGGGTTGCACACCTGTGGATTTAACCATCCATGAATGCATGTTATAGTTCCGTGATTCTCAAAGGTTATCATGCATCACGGTTGCCCATGATGTGTATTCTTTTCACTGCAAAGCAAAACTTAGCTACTAAAAACAATAAGCATGTGTCACCTTTACAGAGTTTCTGTAGGTCAGGAATCCAGGAGCTGATTGACTGGATTATTCTGGTTTGTAAAGTCTCATGAGGTTACAGTTGAGCCCTCTGGACCATGCTGGATGGTCTGTGCTTCCAAAATGGTTTGTTGGTAGGGCTGTTGACTGGAGGCCTCAGTTCCTTACTCCACCAGGCTGCTTGGGCACCCTTATAACATGGTGCTGGCTTCCCATGAGCAGGGAGTCTGAGAGAAAGAGCAAAGAGGAAGTAACAGTGTTTTTATGATGCCATAAACCATCAGATTTGTTATATGCTATTCATTAAATAAGTCAGCTCCCTCGTGGGAAGAAAACTACATGGAGGCATGATTAGCGGGCAGAAACCATTCAGAGCCAATTTTGAGGGTGTCTATGACAGCTTTTTAAACCAAATTACTCAGTGATTCTGAGTAGGTGGAGGTGGTGAGAATTTTCATTTCCAACAAGTTTTCAACTGGTGATGATGCTAGTCCTAAGACCACACTTTGGAAACGATGCCTTGAGCTTTTTAAAAATCTCAGAACACTAGTGCATATTGGTATATGTTCCAACAAATATGCACTGGCCTCAGTGAGAGGACTCAGGATTCCCGCTCATCACTTACTCATACTGATCACGTCTTTGTTACAATGTTGAAACACAAGTGGAATGATTATTTTTATTTGTGTTTAGTTAAAACAATGTTATTAAAAATTATATTATTATTATATATTTATTATTATATTAACAATGTTATTATTAAGACAATATTATTAACAATATAACATTGATCTTTGTCTTTGAAATTGTGTAGCATTAAGCCCTACATTCCAGATTTTTAACTACAAATGCAATTATGCATTTCATTTCTTTTGAAGACATAGCCATAAAATTTACTGCCATTACTAATAAACAGATTTTATGTTCTTAAAAATTATTGTGAAGTGACATACATAATAGCTGCTTGTAAATGTCATTTTTTAAAGTGAACTTCTGTTTGTTTCTATATCCCGTTTTATTGGGAATACTGATTAATGGGTTATAAGTTAGGAAATCTACTCCCATTGATTTCAGAAAACCATCCTCTCCATAACATTTGGTGGGATGATTTGGTGCAATGAACTACATGTTTACATCCTCTCTAAATTCATATGGCAAAATCCTCACCTTCTATATGAGTCAGTTTTCATCACTTTCCAAATACCAGACAAGAACAATCTAGAATAAGAAAAGTTTCTTTCAGGCTCACAGTTTGAGGCTCGGTCCATGGTTGGCCTCCTCCATTGCTCTGTGTCTGAGTGAGGCAGAACATAATGGCAGAAGGGGACAATGGAAAAAAACACCGCAGCTGTGGCAGAGGAAAGAGTGAAGAGCCAGGGACAAAATATTCCCAAGGGCATGCCCCAGTGAGCTCCTTACTCCAGCATGCTCCACCTGCCTACAGTTACCAAGTTTGTCCATTCAAATGGTTAATCCATCAATTGGATTAATCCACTGATATTAGTGGATGAGGTCACAGCTTTCACAATCTGATCATTTCACCTCTGAACAGTGCTACATT